GCAGGGAGGAAAATGTGCAACAATGAATGAATTGGGGAGAAATTAAATGGAAAGAATATGCTGTAAAAAATATATATGTTGCATTAAAAAATCATTTTAAAATTTTTTTAAAAAGAAATGTTTCCATATGCTTGAAGTTGGTCTCATCAATTTACTAAGAGGAAAAAAAGGAATAACATCATTTATAACAATTTTCGCATGAAATGTGTACTGTGGTTTTCTTTCTCAGAATCAGCAATAGCAACTTTCTCACTGGCTCATCATCTATTAAAGTTAAGAAAATAGCAATGTTATTTGTTTAAAAATCTTAAATGGAAATTTAAATATTTTTAATGCATCTAAAATATAGTTTTTAACTTTGTTTGTAAAACTAGGTATTATGGATCTGACTGTATTTAAATAAAGACATGTCAGAAAATCACATCAAGTCCATTAAAGTGTTCTAGCTACTCATATGCTGTTTCTACATACAAATTTCTAAAAAGTTATTAAAATTTATCATGTTCCATAGATGATTTCATTACTAATTCCTAAGCCAGAAATGTTTTCGTTGTCACAATTTCATGACACACTTTAATACATGTTAGGGAGTTCTGGGGGGAGCTTTGGTGGCCTAGCTGCTCTAATAACCTAAAAGTGGCACAGCTCTCTCGTGGTTCAAATCCTTCAGTGCTCTGTAGGAGAAAGCTAGCCAGTCTCTTCTCATACATTTTAGTCTCAGAAACCTACACGCATCAACTGACAGTTGGTTCTGGTGAGGAGATTGAGTTTTTAATATATGATAGATCAAAGGCACTTTCATTATGTAATTTTTTTCAGAAAAAAAATTTGTCTCTTCCAGATGAGTGTTTGAATGATTTTGTAAAGTTTCAACTATATCTGTTGGGATTTTTTTAAATTATACTTTCCTTAAACCCTGAAGTAAAAAAAAACATAACTGGTTTTCCTACCCAGGATCATGGTAGGTCACACATACATTTTTTAAAATATTGTTATTGTTATATGTCATTAATTCAGAACTGACTCACCACCACTGACCCACCAGTGATTTTCAGAGACAGTAAATCACACAGAAGGAGATTAACCATCCTTTTCCTGTACAGCAGCTGGTAGATTTGAACAGTGTGCCCTTGGGATTGCAGCAGCAGCTTCTTACCACTAAGCCACCAGAGCTCCCTATTTCTCTGGAGGTTACACAATATTGTAAATATAAGTCTTTATTAAGTTCATCATTTAATGCCTTTACGCATTTTCTTTGAAAGGTGTGTGCAGAGATAACTGTGAGGAAAAAACATTAAACATTACTTTGGATGTCCTTAGCTATTTTTTACCCTTTTTATGATACTGTTATTTATAATGAAAAGTTATTTAAGGATTTGGATATCAACCTATAGCAGAAAAAAGCCTATTCAATGATTGTGAGGCACTCCAAATTATGTTGTTGTACTATTGAGTCAGAACCAACTCATGATAGACCCTCCACTGGGTTTTTGAGACTGTAAATCACATGTGAGCATTAATATGTTCATGCCATGTTTGTTATTAATTGCCTCTCCAGAGCCTACAGCCAAACAGGATAGTAATGATTTCCCAGCTTGTTTTCATGTGACTGATGGTAGGTGATATCAGTGATTGTTCACTTCAAGTGCCTTGAGGCACAATCAGAAGGCTTGGAACATATTCACCAATATCAACATCAAAATTCCTCTTTTGATTCCCCATATTAGGCAATGGTATTATCATAATTTAAAATTTGCTGTCTTCTCTTACACATCCTATCCTACTTATATTCAACTGCCAGTTCCTCTCAAAAATACTGAGAGTTCCTTTCAATTGTGTCTTCCCCCCCCCCATTCCCACATTCCAAAGCTTTCTTTCTATTCACTCTACAGTCTTAGCAACTTATAGTCTTAACCATAGCCAGGTGTGGAGAAAGGATGCCGCCCTGTGCATACTACATTTTTAAACTATGCAGTGTTTTCTTGCTCTGTTCAGGTAGACTTCTTAGTATAGATATAGGTTTCACATGAATACAATCAAGTTTTCTGAGTTTCCTAATCTTCTCAATGCTAGCCATAATTTGTCATGATCCACATAGTCAAATGCCTTTGCATAATCAAGTTGTGCTGCCACCTAGAAGGCTGCTGTACATCAGTTGCTCTGTAGGAGAAAGATGAGCATTCCCTTCCAGGGAAATTTATAGCCTCTGAAAATCCACTAGAGAATCAACTATGAATTGGTCCTGATTAGATGGCACACAACAACATCAGCATCTTGCATTCTCTGCCTTCAGCCAAGATCCATCAGACATCAGCAGTGATATCCCTGGTGTCACAGCCTTTTCTAAATCTAGCTTGACTTTCTGGCAGCTTTCTGTTGAATCATTCAAGAAGCTAGACTATGGAGAATAATGTGGCAATGATGAAAATTATACAAGTGTTCAGGTCTTTTGTTCACAGGGTCACTATTAGTCATCTACAACTCAACGGCACTTAACAACAACAACAGCAATGTGGCATTAGGATTGGAGAAAGACTTATCAACAACCAGCCTTATATAGATGACACAGCCTTGCTTGCTGAAAGTGAGGAGGGCTTGAAACACTTGCTGCAGAAGATCAAAGATTACAGCCTTCAATATGGATTGCATCTCAAAATCAAGCCAGAGTGGTGTTTCTAAAACTCAAATATGCTTTTGTCACTTTCTTGCTTGTACTGTTCTTCTTGGCCTGAGAGATGTGAAGATGGTATAGGATGTTAGAAAATAGGAATTAGAATCAGAACTTGGTTTAGTCTTCACTAAAGTTATTGTTAGATGGCATGGTTTAAACTCACAATGACAACAGAATGAAACACTGCTTGATCCTGCACCATCCTATCAATACTGTTCTTGAACTCAATGTTGTAACTACTGTGTCAGTTTCACTGAGGGTCTTTTGTCCTTTTTTTGCTGACTTTATCTTTTACCAAGTGTGATGTCTTTCTCCAGGATGTGTTCCTGCCTGATAACATACTCAAAGTATGTGAGACAAAGTCTTATCCCTGCATCTAATGAGTGTTCTGACTGAACTTGTTTCAAGACTTACTGGTTTTGTTTTAGTCCATTGTGTATTCCACTGTTGTCCATCAACACCACAATGTAAAAGCATCATTTCTTGCTCATTTTTACTATTCATTTCCAACTTTCATATGCACTTAAAAAGTTTGAAAATACCATGACTTTGGTTCGGGCACATCTTGAACTTCAAAGTAACAACCTTGCTCTTTAGAACTTTAAAGATGCCTTCTGAAGCAGTTTTGCTCAATACAATATATCCTTTGATTTCTTGACTGCTGCTTCTATGGCTGTTTTGCTTATAGATCCATGTGAAATGAAACCTTACAAGCTTCATTTGGTTCTCCACACATCATGATATTGCTTGTTGGTCTAGTTATGAAAATTTTTGTTTTCTTTATACTGAGGTATAAGCTGTACTGAAGGTTGTAGTTTTTTATCTTCATTAGTAAGTGTTTCAAGTTCTCTTTGCTTTTAGCAAGGCAAGGCTGCATCATCTGCATACCACAAGTTAGTAATTAGTCTTTTTCCCATTCTGATGCCACAATCTTCTTCATATATATCCAGTTTCTCAGATTATTTGTTTTAACGTGCATAATGAATAGGATAGATAAGGGAATGGATACAACTCTGACACACACCTTAACTGATTTTAAGCCATGAGGTCTGACATGCTTTTTAATCTATTTACAGATTCCACATGAGTAACATTAAGTTTCCAAGATTCACACTCTTCTCAATGCTATCCATAATTTGTTATGATCTACACAATTTAATGTCTTTGTGGAAATCAGTAGAATACTGGTAGTGCCTGCTTCCAACCAATATTTGATAACTCTGTGTTAGTGTGTACTAGCTCTATGAATTTGAACAAGTTGCATAACTTTTTGAGAAACTTAGACATTTCCATTATAAAATAGGAATATCTATGTAACAAGATTGTTTTGAAGATTTTGCAAATTGTACATATAAGAACTAAAAACCATCTTACAATGAGGAAGTACTTAAGTATAAATATTATTTATATATAAAAAAGTATTTACTCTTTATATGTAAATAAAGATAATTTTAAAGAAATTTTTCCTTTCTCAGTCTTACATAAAATAGTTCTATTTTAGAGATTGTTTGGAGAAGTAAATCCATATAAACATATGCAAATATTTTATTTCTTTTTTAAAAATTATACTTATGTAGAAATTTGTCTAGGTTTCTAATTTTTAAAATACCTTGGTTAAAGTACAAATTTTGTCTCATTTTATTTCTGAGGTATTTTGCTTCTAAAATTGTTTTTAGGTTTCTTAATTAAAAGTCTATCTTTTGAATCCAAAACTTCCTAGACTTAGGGTTAGAAATAGGAGGAAGTGGAGTTACTCTCCCAGACTTAAAGCAGTATTTCTGGACTGGCTAAAGGTGATAAGGAGAGGTTGGTGAATCACCGAATCACTTACAGACATGCCCAGATTTCTGCATTCAGAATATGTGGCAGCCCACCTTTACTTGTGTAAATAAACTAGGTTTACTCAGGATCTTTAAAGGAAAAGAGGCCTCAGGTTTTATAAATGTATTATTGTGTTGTCATCCTTGGGAAATGTTATCAAATGTTTTTTAATAGAAATAATATTTCTTAGGAAAGGGAACAGAAAATTTAGATCATATGGGAAGCAATGCGGGGATTAGTATTTTGGTAAGAATAAACAAGCAGAATGCAATGTTAAGATCTTGATTTTCTGATGGTAAAGGATGTTTGGAGAGCTGAAAAGTACTGTTACCTTCATCTTCTTTACTGTTTGGCCTCCATTAGGTATGCTTTCCAGTAACTGTTGGCACTGGCAGAAAGCAGCTGTTCGTGGATTAGTCCAGTCTACATCTAAGTTTACCTGTCTTAGCTTTGGGGATATGGTTTACTTCAAGTCACCTTTTTTCCTCTATCTTTGTATTCCTTACAGATTCATGAAGGTTGCAGGAAGCACAGTGGATGCAGTTACCTGGCAACAGTAGGTATTCAACCATTTTTGCTCTTATTTCTTCACCATCAGTGTTTAAGAGAATTGTCACTAAGTTCAGAGCTGACATTAAATAAGCTGTGCTCCATCTGCAGAGAGAAAAAAGCTGAAACTCAATCCAAAGCTGTTCTTAATGACTTATGCTGCCTCATAGTATTGCTTGGTTGGCATTTGGAGGGGACGGGGGCATGGGGAGGAAATGACATTTTGGAGAACTCAAGTGTTGGTACATTTTTAATTTAATCTGTCATCAGTGAACAGGTAATGGAGATCTGAGTGTGCCACCTTTCCCCCACCCTTTACTTTGGGAATAAATTTCCTTGTTTAAGAGAGGAAATAGTTCTAGTTACTTAATATAACACATGAATGTAGAAACACTTTGTTGTATTATAAGTATTCTTAATTAATATCAAGTAATGAGACAAACTTTTAAGAAGAAGGGGGAATAAGAAGAAGAATGTAAAGGAACAAAGCAGCTTCAAGAGAGAAATTCTAGGAGGTTGCTCACAGTAGTCAAGACTTGTTTCTCCAAAATAGCTTGACTTCTGAATATAATTATCTGTACATAAATTTACATTTCTTTAAATCTCCTCATAGCATTTATGCCAGAATGTGCAGTATTTCAATAGGTCTAATTATTTCTACTCAACAGCAAGAACAACTGCAATCACGTTTATATTGGAGCCTTGCCTTTCCCTTCTATAAAAAGCTTTTCCCACATGTCTTCCAAGTTATCTCTCATATACTGTGGTCTTCATTGCCCAGACGTGCACTGCCATCTTGGCCCTCACATCGGAGCCCACAACTGCAGCCTTCATCCCCATTTACTCTGATCTTTACTGTCTAGGCCATTTACCTCCTGTATAAAGGAATCACAGTGCCCTTAGGGTATTCTTGTTGTGAGAAAAGGATTAAATATATGAAATCTTTTATATGTATACAAAAAGAATTTTTTGTTTGTTGGCTATAAGTTATATCAGTCATAATGGAAATACTTCATTTTGCATTTATACTCTTAGTTTTGCTGAACAAGCTCGTACGTTTTCAGAAATTCTTACTCTCTTTCCATTTCTTTTTGAGTCATGGGCTCAGTAGGCCTGAGGATCTTATCCTCTCATTGCTTCTTTTCTTTGCACTTAGACTAAAAACCAAACTCTCTACTCTGGCCTACTAATAAGTTTGGTTTCTGCTGCTTCCTGATTTCAACTCATGCTACTTACCCCTCCCTTACTCATCCTGTCCCATCATGTAAGTTGTCTTTCAGTTCTTTAAGGTTCAAGTCCATGTCTATCTCAAGATCTTCTCACATGATGTTCTTGCTTCCTGGAATACTGTCTCTCCACTCAGAGTGGCTACTTTTCATACTTTAAATCTCCCCATACATGATATCCTCAGAGAGGCCTGCTCTGACTGTTGTATTTAAAACAGATGCTTCATTTCAGGTTTTTTCTTAGCTCCTTGTTTTTTCATATCATTTACCAGTACTTGCAATTAGTACTTTTTCATAATTGGTTTTTCTTATCCACCATAGTGGAACTTAAAAAGTTCAACAAGAACTTATTTGGGTAATCATTTATTAATAATATACTATTAGGGGTGTATGTGTGAGAATAATAGTAACAGTAGTAATACAGTAAAACATACAAAAGTCACCAGTATTAGGTGAAAAACTATCAGAGAAGGAAAAACTCACATACTTTCTACTAATAGACCTTGCTTGCTTCATGTGAGAACTTGAAGCATTTGTTGCAGAAGACCAAGGAATGAAGCCTTCAGTATGGATTACATCTCAATGTCAAGAAAACAAAGATTCTCACCATTGGACCTATAGGCAACATCATGAAGGATGGAGAAGAGATTGAAATTGTCAACAGCTTCATCTTGTTTGGATCCACAATTAACATTCTTGGTATCAGCAGTCAGGAAATAAGACACATTGCACTGGGAAAATCTGAAATAAGGTACCCCTCCAAATTACTGAGGCATAATGATGTCAATATGAGGACTAAGGTGTGTCTGATTAAGGCTATGGTCTTTCTGCTTATCTGCTATGCATCGGAGAGCTGGACAATGAGTAAGGATGGCAGAAAAAGAATTGACACCTTTGAGCTGTGGCCTTGGAGAAGAGCACTGAACATCCCACGGATGGCCAAGGGAACAAACAGATATGTCTTGGAGAGGGTGAAAACGGAGTGCTCTTTGGAGGCAAGAATGATGAGGCTTTGCCCCACATTCTTTGGGCATGTTGCTAGGAAGGGCTATTCTTTGGAGAAGGACATGATGCTGGGAAGAGTGGAGGGTCACAGAAGGAGAGGAAGACCCTCAATGAGGTGGATTGACACCATGACTGCTGCAGTGGGTTCTTGTATGTCAGGAAGTGTGAGGATGGCTCGGGATAGAACAGGGTTCAGATAAAAGTCTCTATGAGTCATATTCGACTTGACAGCACCTAACAACAAAAACAACAATAGAAAAGCAGAAAAGTGAAATTACATCTTATTAAACCCAGAAAAACAAGGCAGTCCTATCAAGTTCTAGCTCACAAATTTCACTATGATAATAGCAGTGTGAAAAAATATGGACCTTTCTAAATCTTTGTATGCCTTGCCATATCTGTTGCTCACAACAACCAAACGAAACAGTGACTAACATCACCATTTTCCCTACAGTTTACAAAAAGCAGTAGAAAATGCAAAGATTACACATAAAGTAGTAGATTTTTGAACTTGAATCTGGGTCAGTCTTATTCCAAGAGTTTTTCTCTTAATGATTATTACTATTTTCATAATAGCATAATATTACTGAAAATCTTAAGTTCTTGTGGAGGAATTGAAATTCTGTCGAGTGTCCTCATAAAAGATTTCTTGGATAAGAGAGCATAGAGACTCAAGAGTGAAGAATTTATAGGAACTATATAATCCTATAAATGTGAAATAATGAGATCAGTATGAAAAATTATTGGGTAAAAATGTTTGACTTGTCAGATCATCATTGCTCACAGAGAAGGGTCAGAGATAGCTTTTCTTCTTTATTTAGGGATTCTTTACAGTACAAATGTAATAAAGTGAGGCCAGTAATTAAAAAAATTGTAATGGATAAATGGATTTTTTTATAAATATAATTCATTTATTGGCTACTTTAAGAATATTGGCTCTCTTTCAAGATAAATAGCATGTATTTGCAACTATTAAATACTCCCCCAAAGCAGAGAGGTGTTTGTTTCTTTTGGCTCCAGTATCAGCACTAATTTGGGGACAACAAGTAGCACCTGGAATCTACCATTTAGCCCTTCCAGCCATAGTTCTAAGTCAAGTCTTAGAATAGCTACGAAACAATCCCAGCAAACCTGGCCAGGAAAATTCAGTGAAAATTAAAGCCAAATGCCATGTTTCTCCAACTTTGAGAAATGCTGAAATGAAGAATTCTTAAACTTCTAAGGAAAGTCAACAGTTGCTGTGGAGGGTGGGAAAAAGAAAGAAGAATTTATGAATATACTATTATATAGATAGCCAAAAGGATCAATTCAATAACAAGATACAGAGATTAGAGCTTGAACAACTGGAACTCTGAGTCTGAAGTGATAATTAGATCTATACAGCTGGTGGCCCTGTGGTAAAGAGCTGCGCTGACAACTTGAAGGCACATGGTTCAAATCCACCAGCTGCTCTGCAGGAGAAAAGTGGGACATCAACTCCCAGGCAATTAACTGTCTCTGAAAACACTCTGGAGGGTCATCTGTGAGTTGGTTCTGACTCAGTGGCACAAAACAACACATAGTTACACTATTTTGATTTTCAAACCCATGTATTTTGAGAACATGATTTACCTTACCCATGATTGACCCTACCCACTTATCAATATGGAAAACCCAGTAGGATTAGTTAGTGACCCTAAAATAATAAGATGAAGAAGCTTTTGTAACGTGGGGGCTCTGGTGGCACTGTGGTTAAGGCATTGACTGATAACCAAAAGATTGGTGTTTTGAACTCAGGAGCTTCTCCACAGGAGAAAAAAAAAGGTAGTCTGCTTCGATAAGGATTTAATAACATTAGAAACCCCAAGGGAATGTTCTGCTTGGTTCTGCAGAGTCACCATGAGTCTCAACAAACTAGGTGATAGTGAATTTGGTTAGGATATTTTTTGTAAATATATTAAAAGATTTAATGGTTAAGATGTCCATAGTGAATGAACAGATGGGAAAATATCAGTAGTTAAATGGAAACAATAAAGAAAATCAAAAGGAATTTTTAAAATTAAAAATGCACTTGGTAGGCAGAACAAGTTATTATTGTTTTTATGTATTTTGAGGTTATAAACAACTCATAGCCTGTGTCTCCAGCAGGTTTTCAGAAGCAGTAGATTTGAACCACAGGCCTGTGCGATGGCAGTACAACTCCTTACCACTAAGCCACCAGAGCTCCCTAACAAACTATTAGAAGCTAAGAAAGAACTCATGAACTTGTATATATAGATCAGCAGAATTTTTTTAAAGATTCAAGACAATTGATGCTCAAATTCATTGAATGAAAAGAGTGAGGAATGAAAGATTACCCAACATTCTACAAGGGTTTTATGGAGTATTCTAACTTGAACCTTGGGTAGAACTAGACAGATCTTTATGCTTTCTTGGTGGCTAAGGAAACTAGGGAAAGCCTTCTAATTTCACCAAAGGGGTTCAAAGGAGGATAGAATCCAAAAGTAAATAAAGGTCTTTGCCATCACAACACATTATGGGATGTACACTATACGTCTGGTGGTCTACAAAATTAGAATGGAAATAATGGATTTTTATATCCATAATATCAGTACTTTTTTCTAAGTGGGGAGAAGAAGGAACTAAACTTTATTAACTTTGATGTGATGTATGAGTAATTAGAATCCCAAAGGACAGGAGAGATCAAATGGGCCACATTTCTCCCCCTTTTTATTATTAATTTTAATGAACATTTACAGAGACTTTGGATTTCCATTCTTTCCTTGTTGCATTTTTC